AACAGCGGCGATTCTGTGGACGGGCCGACTAGCCCTCGAGGAGGCTCGGTGGCCAAGGAGAAGAGGAGCGAGGCCCCGGCGTTGGAGTCCTAGGGAGAGGCCGAGCTCACCTTCGCGTCGTCTATTCGGAGCCTACATCTGTGACGATGATCCAAGTGGTGTTTTCATGATAGGGCTTTGGAGTTTACCTTGCCTTTTGTATCCGGGATCTTTCGTGGGAGACGCTGATGGGAGGGTGTTGGTCGTTTTCGAGATGTGCGCTGCGGAATTAGGCGAACCTCCTGTCGCTGTGTAAAATAGGATGGGATGAGGTGGTATCCGAGTTTGGAAACTCTTGGCGTTTTGTTTACTGTATCCTTTTTCCCGTTTGATTTATCCTTTTCCCCTGGCTGCAAAAAAAAAAGTTAAAAAAAAAAAAAAAAAAAATAATGTGCATAAAGCCGTTCAAAAGAGAACCAAGCCAAAGCCGTTGAATAACTGTCGTCAAACCGCCGCAGTTCGGCTGTAATGTGGAGTTCAGACTCGCAATAAGCAAAAGATCGACCCAGACGGGGCTCGAACCCGCAACCTTCAGAGTATTCAAGAACCGAAATCTGACGCGATACCATTTCGCCACCAGGCCCATCGATCATGTGAATTCAGGGGTAACGCGTGTCAATTATAGGGAGGGGGTGGGGATCGTGGATGCTGTTTGCCTTCACCGCCCTTTGAATTCTCGCCCCTGGATCGCCGCGGAGTCTATCTAGCACAAAAGAAGCAATGATTAAACCCAACGACGGTTGCTTATAGTGCGTACGACCAGCTTGCTATTAAACGAGTATGGTCAACTTTAAAGTTCCTTGCTGCCTTTATCCGTATGCTTTGAATGCACGTTTCCATATAATACATTAATATTACAGCGCGTGCCAAACACAATCGTCAGGTTGAGTTTTTCGTCTGTATTAAGTGAATAGTTATATGCATCGCAGAAAATACCGTCGTGCCTTATGCTTGTATCATGTCGATCTCGTCATCCTCGTCATTTCCCTCGCCGTCCTGCCCTTCCCGTTCTTCCGGCGGCACGGCCATGCGGAGGAACTCGTGGTCCAAGGCCTCGTCGGCGCTGATGCGGCGGGCGGGGTCCAGCTCCATGCACCGGTTCAGGAACGCGCAGGCCAGCTTCTCGTCCTCGGTCAGCGTCTCGTCCGAGTCGGCGCGGCAGGTGCTCCAGAGCACGATGCGCTCGAGGCTGAAGCCCTGGGTGCCGACGGTGGGGATGGTGGTCTCGAACATGCAGCCGTGGAGCTGAGCGGCCGCCTTCATGCGGCGCTGGCCAAAGATGGTGGCGATCTCGATCATGGCATCGACGTCGTCGGCGCTGTTGAAGAAGGGGAACCGCTTGCTCAGGATGGTCAGCAGGATCACGCCCGCCGACCAGATATCGATCTTGGGCGTCTGCTCGGTGCACTTGAACAGCACCTCGGGCGCGCGGAAGCCGCGCGTGCCCGCCCG